CCTTGGCTTATGCTCCCTTCCTTGGTGGAATCCGGCAACATGTTGTATTATAATTTCTACAATTTGGCAGAATCCCAAATAGAGAGAATAAGATCAACATTGGAAGGAGAGGATATTGATGCCAAATTTGTGGGTTCGTCTCACGGGTGGATAGTTGTGCTGAACCGGCGCAACCACGGGCTGCTCCTCTGGAACCCCATCACTGAGGTACGCATAAACCTTCCATCCCTCCTCACCTTGCCCGATCCCCAAATTAACTGCTGTGGGATTGTATCCAAGCTCATACTCTCCTGCTCCCCCGACCACCACGTAGATCAATGTCGTGCCATGATGATTTTTGGACCCTTTAACAGGCTGGCTTTCTGCCAGCCCGGCCGCAGCACCCACTGGACCCCAATCGGCCATTTGTATTGGACTAAGTATTTGTATTGGGAGGCAAGCCACCACACCGACGAGGAGGACGACTATGCGAGGCGGTACACCGATTGCGTGTATTCCCCCACACACAAACTCTTCTTCTGTTTTGTGATGTGGAGATTGGAGTGTTGGGATCTTGGGGACCTCGAGTGCCCCAGGATTTGTTGGTCGGAGATTGTATATTATACGCAAGGGGTTGCTAGTGAAGAAGAGATGTTTGGCATCTGTGCCGCTGGGAGATTACCGGATTTGATGAGACAGCAATTCCTTGTGGTGGCAGAGCAGACGAATCAGCTTTTCCTCTTGGATCAGCACGTATGCTTACGGATGGGCCCTGTCGGTAGATATCGTCCGCATATCTACTTTGGTAAGTATAGGGGTTGGGATGACAAATTCCCCCACCAAACATTTGCTTTCGATGCTTTTAAAGTTGACTATATTTCGGGGGACGGCACTCAGCCCAAGCTTATTAAGACTAGCATGGAGGGTTCGCTGGATGGGCTGGCAATGTTTATTGGCAAGAACCACTCCTTTGCCATCTCCGCACCAACCAACCATGGCCTAGAAAAAGATTGTATTTACTTTACTGACACAAATAGACACCAGCCTCCAGCGGGCTCCATCTTTGGGGGCCACGATATCGGCATTTATCATTACGCGACCAGAACATTTTCTGATTGCTTTTATCCACGGGACATCAACAAAATAAAGAAGATTGTGCCTGCACCCATGTGGTTTACTCCCAACGACCGCACGCACTAACGGATGATTTAGCAAATTATCCTAGTTACTCTGTTTTTTCTGCTCCGGAACAAATCTATTTTTGCTTGTCTTGTATTATCTTTTATCCATTCATCTTTATAATGTGGATCATGATAAATTAGAGTATGTCCAGTACTTATGGCTTATTAATCTTGTCGTGTTAATCTATTCCCCCCGTTTTTTTTAATTTATCATGAATATCTCTTTTATACTTATGAGAAAAACTGATGGGCCTTTAGGCATCGTTTTGGTGTTACCAAAATGCCCTTCATTTTCTTTTATTTATATATATTCCTGCCCAAAAAGACATCGTTTTGGGGTTTGTAATGTTGGGCTCAGATGTGCAAATGAAGAAGGTGTAAA